CGGACCGCAGAGGGCGAAATGGCAAGCTCAAATGTGCTCTCGTTGAGCCTGCCAGACGGCAAATGCAACAGCCAGGTGAGTGTTTGTAACTCCGCGAGCGTTGCAAGGCTCTGGTGCTGCATAAATAGGCTGTGTCAATTCAAAGCGTGTGCTAACAATCTTCAGGAGCTCGACAGTTCTAGCGATGCTGATACTGAGCTCAACTTTGCCAATGGGCGATCTTCTTCAAAGCATTCCGTCAACCGGACCGTGTTCCCCAAGACGAGACCCAGCAGACAGAACAGTGGCCTTATCGATGCTCGACCCCAGCCTCTGACGCATACAGGCGCGGCTACACACTCGCTCACAGCTTCGTTGTCTTCCGATAGAGCGCGCAACCGCTCCACGACCTCACTGGCCACCCGCGCTAGGCAGCCGACTTCCCTAGCCACGTCATCGCCCCGGCCTGATGGAAGGAATTCGCCTCTTTCATCTCTTTCGACCTCTCGTACAGTGCAACATGAGCAAATTGGTGAGCCTCACTTCGCGATAGCCACGAGTATGACACCCTGTCCAACACTCCTGCCTCGTGCGTTGGAAGCCCTGGAGACAGCTGCGGTTTCCGCGTTCGGGATCACCTACGACTCTGTTACTGAGAATGCCGCTCGATGCATCGCTGAGGCGGCTCTTCAGTTGAGCGACTTGCACGGGAACATGCGTCGACCATCCCGAACAAACACGTTGCGAGGAAGCATGACATGCAACACTGCCTTGCCAAGTCCCACGGAAGGCGCGACTGTCGTGGTTCTAGCAGGCAATCACGACATTGGCGCTCGTGCTCTTGCCGCGGCTCGTCAGCTGCTTGGCCGCGGCGTGAACATCATCGCCGTGGAGTCGTTATTCGAGACAGCAGACTCTCAAGACCCGCAGATGAAAACTCAATCGGCCATCCTCAGGCGAATGACTCGCCGTGATGGTAGTGTTTCGAAGCTTAAACGTGGTCGATGGAGCAAAAGCTATCGACATATCAAGAACCTCACTGGGCCGCCGGCAGTTATCATCGATGCACTTCTAGCAGGAGCGACATACGAGAGCCTGCTGGCACCAAACGCCGAGTTCAGCGCGAATGCTCAAAGGGAGACTCGCGAGATGATCGACTGGGCGAATCGTTCCAGAGCGCCTGTGCTCTCAATCGGATGTCCATCAGGTCTTTCCGGCGTCGATGGCATCAGCACCATTGTCGAAGGCGAGCCTCTCTCCATTCGACCTGATAGAATCCTTGCGCTCGGAGCCCCGTACCAGGGTCTCTTGAAAGCGGTCGAAAACGGAGAGCTTGACAAAGTCAATATCTCTGTCGCTGACATTGGTATTAATATCGCTCTTAAATCCGATGAGGCTGTGGCTTTTGGGACTAGCTGGGTCCCTGATCTTCAGTATCAGCCTGTGGTATGAGGAGTCGCTGGCATAACGGCCGAGCTTAGAGAAGGGAGTGAGTGCTTTGGAGATACTGTACGAGGCATTTTGGATTCAGAGATACCCATACGCGTAGAAAAAGTTAGTTACACAGAATCCATTGAATTGAATTTTGGACATATCGCGAGGATCAGTAGCTTCGCACAATGAACAGTCAGAGAGCAGCTTCCATGTTTCTCTTGTTATGAAGTCACAACGCTGGTTCAATTCTGCTTCGGTAAAGGACAGATTTCCAACGAACGAGCACTATGCCTCAGTGCCCTCCGGTAGAAAGACATCCTCTGAAAAGGATTCCTATGCCGAAGATGCGATATCCATGTTACGGTATCATCACCGCAGAGTACGAAAGTGTCTTCGCAAAGGGCAGCTTCTTGCTGCATCCAGATTCGACGATGCCAAGATCTCGAAAATAAAGCAGATAATGCCTGGACCAGACTCCAAGCACTTGAGTTTTCTGTCAAGCTGTCGAAAAAACATGTCTTCTCGTTGAACAAGTAGTCCGTTTCACCACTGAATTGCCAGAGTGCGGGTTCTCGTACATACTTCTTGGCATCAAGCTGGGAAATATACGGAGCGCCATTGCGAGATGGCGTTCAGCGCTTTCCAGGCCAAGCCAAATGAGCACTGACTTGGCACCACGATAGATGAGATGCATTATCTTCACCTGTTCTTCCTTCTCTTTCGTGTCCTGCTGGTTGATACAGACACACTCCATCCACAACATGCGGCCTTGCTCAGGTGTCCGGAGGCGTAGAACTAGTAGCAGATCATATGCGTTTTTCCCGATCGCCAAAGGTGCATTATCACACATCATCGCCGTCGGCTGGCCCTCCCATCTATACGACGTTGCTTCGTAAGGTGTCGTGCCCAGTTGGTGGGGCTCTAGCTGGATTCGAACAGGTTCATCGTGGTCGCCAGGAAGAAGACAGAGCAGGCGGATGGTCGTGCCACTGGATAGCGGTCGGTAAATCGTCATAATGCTGGTCAGTCTGGGCGGGGTGGGAATCACCCCATTGATGGGATCCATATACGGCAGAAAATAATCAGCATCCTCATTTTCTGAACCTACTAGTACATCTATACCCACTCCATCTTCCATCCAATCAACTCGCAAACCTCGACAGTGAAACAGTCCTCATTGGTCTAGTGGGTATGTTGGTCCGACATTGACACCGAGTTTGACGGTTCTAACTATCTGATAGCTATGATTTCCGCTTGTCATCCTCTGGATACCAAGCGCGGGAGACCTGGGTTCGATTCCCAGATGGGGAGGAAGATATATCCTTAGAATATCTATTTTTGTGACGTCATGCCAAGAATGACGTTATAAAAGTGAAAGTGAAAGTAAATTTTTTATTCACTTGTAGCCTATTCACTTATGCTTAATTCACGTGCAAGACTATTCACTATTAAGCCCTACACTTGTGTATTTACCTGCTACTTTATTTACAAGTTAATCTATTTACTATTTCTACTATTTACTCGCGATATGTCCTCTATATTACCTTAAAGAGCTATTACTACGCTTCGCGAAATTCCTTGCTCTATCTAACGCTAACTATTACTAGACTATCCTCGTAGTATAATTGCGTTTTCTATTTTAACCTAGACTATACTATAGCTCTCTTATCCTAGCTATACAATATTAATATTCTAGGTATTACTACTTCTATTAGGCTCCCGCTCCGTACGGTACTCTTACTTTCTTGCCTCTAAAAACGGTATTAAGAAGTTCGGACAAGGTCGAGAATATAGTAAAGTTACTATTGCCTATAATCGGTCTGTTATATTAACGGATAACCTAGACTCTATAGCTCGTTGTTAGCGTATATTACGATGCTTTATCCTCGTATATACCTACTAATCTATCGTCGCAGACCTATAGTCGACTTCGAGCTCTTCGCGGTTAACCTCTAGCTCCTTTAGCTAAGCGTCGAGGTATAAGAAGATATAGTTTATCTGCCCGACCGTATCTAGTAGACCGAAATAGGTGTTATACTAGTAGTTAAGATTATCTGCTAGCGCGGGATCTGCTTTAATATAGCGCCTAAACTCTTTAAGGCCGGCAACCGTATTCTCGATCTATATATATATAGAGTCTATCTGCTTTAGATGCCCTTCTAAGTCGTTAATAGACTAACTAATGCTCCTTATATCGCCTACTAAGGACCGCTTTTAAGCGAATTGCTACCTTTCTATAGTCGCTAGTTTCTTAGAGGCCTCTATAGGGTCGTCGTATAGCGGGCTTTACTTACGCTTATTTAGCGAAGTAGCTATAGTTATAGCGGTAGTCGTGTTGCCCTTAGCCTCTATAGTATTACTATAGTCGTAAAGGAAGCAAGTAAGTAGCTCTCTATAGATAAAGAAATCGTAACGTTCTAGTTAGTAGATAGGAGACTATATAGCTTCGTAAGCTAGATAATACTCCTTATCGATATAAGACACCGCCGTATGTCTTATAGTTCTAATTTTGCTAGTAGGAGGACATCTGCTCTATTATATACGATAAAGGTACGCTAGCGCGTTATCCGAGAGTCTAGAGGCGTAAAGCGAACGTATTAAAATAATAGGTCTAAGGAGCTAGGAGGGCGAAAGTTAGCTATATATAGAAATCGTTAGTTAAGTAGTATATTATCGGGGGTAGCTTCGGACAGAAGTAAGACCTTTAGTAGGCCTTAGAGCTTAGAAACTCTAAGAAGTAGCATATCTACCGTTTTGTAACTAAGTACTTCGTCGAAGATAAACAAAGGCTTATAGTATAGATATTATTACGAGAAGAGGAAGATCGCTAACTAGCAACAATTAGAAGGAAGGCTAGACGTAACACTCTATACTACGACGTAATAAGAAATGCGTTATTAGTAAGCGAGGACTTCGTTACAGGACAATTATAAACCTAAAAACTAGAGGAATATTAGAAAGGCTGTTTTCTCGTAGTGCTTTTATAACTATATAGTAATTCTATTCTTTAGAACACCCGCTAAAAGTATATATATATCCCTCCGAAGCGGTTACGCTAAGAATTAACAGGAATTGTACTAAAACTCTAAGAAGTAGATAACGTATAAGTCCCCTAACAAATGAAATATACAATTTATATGCTCTAGCCGCCGCTCTTATACGAGCTGCGTAGCGACTAGTAACTAGTATCGGTGCTAGTATAGCCTATATTATATAAGACTTCCTAGACAGCTTTATTAAGGACTTAAGGGTTAAGCACCGTACGTACCGACTAAGAATACTACGAGACTTAAGCGGGCGGAGCCGGGGGTTAAGCTTAGCTACGAGTTAGTATCGGATAAGTAGAGGTTATATATTATTATCCGAGCGGGGGCATTCTATAGGAAGGTATTAGAGACGGCGCTTAAGGGCTTACGGAGGACGCCGAAGATAGGCTATAGCCTGTCGCGTACTAGTATTACTACTAGTATAGAATAGAGGCTAGCGCTAGTAGCTACTTAGACGAGAATATATAGAAGTAGCTAGCTATAGGTAGTAGTCGCATCGGAGCTTTCTCCTTTAGAGGCTTCTAAGACGAGGGTAGCGGAGTACTCGGGGTAGATTTAGTCTAGCCCTAGGCGACTAAGCTTTATATAACGGCAGCGATCGTAGCTTTATTAATCGTCGAAGCTAGGGCAGCGGGAGCGGTAGAAGTAGGAGCTATAGCTAGCCTAGTATTAGTACGATAGTTGTATCTATACTACTAGATCGACGAAAGCTACGGGCGAGATAGAGCTATAGTCCGTAGTAGTATTCCTATAGGGCTAAGACCTATCGATACGAAAGTGTTTCCTAGAGTCTCTATAATAGAGTTATCTTCGGACTTAGAGCGCTAAGGGGTGTTAGTAAAACTATTCTATATTAAGATTATAGAAGTATATACTTAAATTTAAGGACCGAATCTCCTTAAGGTAATTCGAGAATATATCTACTAACTATTGCTTACTTAGATTCTCCCTATAAGCAACGTCGTATTAACTAAGTATTTGCCGTAATATTAGTTTCGTCTATTAGGACGGATGCTAGTCGTCGTATATATAGTCTTTATTATTGCCTCTATCTTGCTTACGGACTTCAGCCCTATACTTCTCTAGTAGGGCGATTAAAGAGCTCTTAGTTAATCTTACACTATACGGGATGCTTAAGGCATTTAGATAGCTTAAAGCTTTTTCCTTATTTAGGTATTAGTAATAATCGAAGCCGAACTTAAGGTAGTCTATTATAGAGGTAAGGCTAAGGTCGATATAGTAGCAGTAGATCGTTATAAATTCTCTTATAAGATCGCTATAGAGTACGAGGAGGGTAACGGAAGGCTCGGGGAGGTTTCTTTAGCGCGGTATAATAACAAACGTCCGAGACGAGTATTAAATTTCTATAGTCGAAGGTTAGATAAGTGCAGTATAAGATTCCTATATTAAATGCGCAAAGTTAAGAGCATATATACGCAAGCTAATAACCGAGAACGGTTACTTTCGAGACATGTTTCTATTAGAAACGCGACAGCTATACGCGATATTAAACCTAGTACCGCATCTATATAGTAAGATATTTGTAGGTAGCTTATGTCTAGACCTAGACGACTTCGCGGCTTAGCCTATATAGCCTATTAACATCGTTAAAAGCTCTAGATTAGGAGTTAATAGAGCTAGTGTAAGCTCTTAACGGCGGTAGCACTAAGATATCTAAAGTCTGTCTGTCCGAGACATGTCGACTATCTTTACTACCTTAGAGACTATACTACTAATTAGTCCGCTATCGCAGCCTAGGCCCTACTATCTAATATAGGGGTTATATCGAGCCGAAGTCTACTACCGTAGCAGTCTTTATCCTAAGTCTTAATTAGTCTATCTTGCTATACGCTTTTAACTCTATAAGAAGTAAAAGCAGTACTTACCTTATCTACGCTAAGATAGCGTACTACTATACTAGAGTCTAATAAGATCTTATCCGAAGAAGAAGAGTAGTAATATATACTAGCCCTTCGAGCTTCGGAGGTCCGATAGCTACCGGCCTTGCGATAATACTATAGATTTTGTCTAGTACGACGACTACCTCGTTACTAGTATAACTACTTCCTATAACGTAATAGCACTTCGCGCCTCCGCAAATTATTAATTACTACAATTATTACTAGTATCCGGCTCTACCGATATTATACGATACTACCGCCTAGATAGGCTATAACTTCCGGTTCTATACTAAACATATTACGGAGCTAAATAATAAGGTAGACTAGATCGAGGGCGAGGAAGAAGACTAGCTCTAACTAGTAACGTTAGGTATATAAGGAAGTCTTAGTATATAAGACAATAATACTATACGGGTTAGGCGAGTATACGAGGAAGGGCGCGCGTCTCTAGAGTAGGAGCTAGAGGACCTTCGCTAGGCGCTTCTCGCTCGGACTAGCTTAGAGTAGCGTATCGCTAGCCTCGAGACTACGATAAACGCAATAAGCAAGGATATTAAGGTATCGTATCGAAGGATCGAAGCAGCCGTATAAACTTTAACCGAGGCTACTAAAGCAAGCTTTAGTTATATCTTAGACTATCTCTAGCGCAATATTACGCTCTAGGAACGAATTTAAGTAGAGCTTCGACGGGTTCGGGATACCGTTTACGGATCGTAATAAGATCGGTACGAGTATAATAAACCTTCCGACCGTACCTAGAACAAGTAGCAACTCTCGTAGCAAGGTATTCTTACCTTACTAGTAAAAGAATCGGAGATAGCGCGAAAGGAGAGTAGTAACGAGCCGAGATCTATAGAGTTACCTTCCTCGTCTCCTACTCCTTTATATATAGAAGCCGATAGTAACAAAAGCCGAGGCGTAGCGCTAGGTTACTATACGTAGGAAGTAGTCGAGCTAGTTATAATAGCTTCTCGGCGTCCGACGACGCTAGCGGCTATCGTGTAATACGAGGATATCGATCTAAAGTAGGGATACGCTATACTATTACGTCTATATACTAATCTCGAGGATACTAGCCCTAATAGCAACGACTAAGATCGTCCTTAACTAGCAGACTAACCCTTAAAGACTAACTCGAAGAAGACTATAAATAGAGTTAAGCTCGAAAAGAGTACTAGCTCTTCCTTCGAAGCAAAGGATAGCGGTTCGGTAGAAGGAATATTATAAGCTAGTAAAGAGTAGGATACAACTAATATTACGAGTACGAGCGGGTCTACGGCTATAAGCTCGAGCTTAGGCGCGGCTACGGCGTTTATAGAAGAGGAAAAGGCGGAAGTCTAGGACAGTCTAGACATTACTTCGATAGGCTAAGCTATTTCAACCGAAAGGGAAGAAGGTCTAGTAAAGTAGACTACTAAAGAGGGTCCGGGTCTTTCGATAGTAGTAAAGCGCTATTAGATTCCGAAGGATAAGCTTAAGAATTGTAATTTGTAAGGAGGATTCTATAGCTAGGAGGACCTATACGGCATACCGGGATAGCAGTCTTATACCGGGTCTATAGCTTATAAAGTTCTACGTTGTTCTCTAAGTAACATTCTAGTAAACACCTCTTTACGGAGTATATTGCCGTACGCTCTAATGTCCTTAATTCCGACTTAATTATCGTTCTTGTTCGCCTTATTCTCCTTACTTCGCTCTCTTAGGCTTATAGGGCAACTGTCGAGCTACTTATTAATCTCTTACTCTTCTATAGCGGAAAATCGTCTACTTCGGTATAGATATAGGCGTACGCGGTACTCTTTAGCTTCTCGAAAGATTCTCTTCTCCTCCTTATAGGCCTTAGAGTTAAAGGTATCCTAGGTAATAGACTCGAGTCGTAAATGTCGGTTACGGAGTTCCTACGTAGTAGCTAAGACAGATATATAGTACTTAGGCATCGCTACTACCTCGCTAGCTCGATGCAATTTAGGAATAACCTGCTACGCTAAAGTAAAACAGTCTTCCTTAGAAAGGAGCGCAATAAAGGCCGGAAGAGTCGCTAGGCTAATATAAGTGTTAATTAAAGCAGTATCGCCGAGGGTAGGCTAAAAGTATTCGCAAATAAAGACAACTTTCGTAGCCTAGTCTTCGCATCGCGGTTCTTACTAGACCTCTTAAATCTAGCGTAATATACTGTCTTTGTCTATACCGATAATGTATTAGTAAAGTTATTGTTTACTAGCAGCAACCTTCTAGAACGACTAGGCTTAGCGTGCTTCTAACCTTAAAGCTAGCCTTAGCGTTAATAACTAATGCACTAATGTACCCGATCTACCCTTATACGCTTTAGCAATAGCCGAACCTCTAAAGAAGCGCGCTAAAACTCGAGGAAATACGGTACTTCTTCGAGAGCTTAGTTAAGGACTAGACTTCTTCTACTAAACCGTAATACTATAGGGTACTAAGTATAATATTTACGATTGCAATATCGACGCGACTTTTAGAAAACTACCGAGCAATGAAATTGCTATTATAAGCCTTAATAAGCTCGTACGTCGTTACGGACGAGGCTAGTTTATATACCTCCTATCTCGAGGTATATAGCGGGCTCCTAGACAAGAACCGATAATTCCTACTAGACGGGTACCCGGCGCTCCTAGGTATATACGCGTAAGACGTTAGGCGCTAGGGAGGACTAATATAACTAGTACTAATTATCCTACTATACTATATATAAACTTCGTATATAATGCTAATACCTAAGCAGCTTTTAACGCCGAGTCTTAGCGCGGCCGCTATTTAAAGTACAATACCTTAATTAACCCTCCTACGCATCTAATACCTCTATACGCTATCTAATTCAACGACTCGGCATTGTCGCAACTCTATGTAACTACTAAACTATCTCTAGTCCTAATTATAAATACTTCGTATTTCTTCCTTATAACTACCTTAGATCTCGAGCGTATTATAGGACGTTAGAGCTCGGAAAAAGCGCAGAGGCCGACTAGTACTAACCCCGACCTACGCCTCGATACGATGCTATATTTATATAACGAAGACAAGTTAGTTACTAGTACCTGCCCTAAATTCAAACAACTCTAAACTTTCTGCTACGATAATATCGAATATATCTACTACGCTATCGTTCGATCCTATAATAGAGTCCTTAGCGTTATACCTACGACTATAAACGCCGGTATACTCTATAAACTCTTGCCTAGAGGCAGTTCGCCTAATAGCGGACTTTTATTAAGTATGCCGCTAGTCTCGCAGCTACTACGCCGATCTCTAGGCCGAAGAAAAACTCCTCGAAACACCCTCGAAGCTATAGTTAAGGAAGATACCGTTAAGAACCTTTTCTTTAAAGATAATAATACGGAACAGCTCTTTACTTAGTAAGGGCTGCGATCGCTTAACGTATATAGGCGGGTATAGGTATTATAGGCAAGTCTAGCATTAGTCGAATTAGGAATACTAGCTTACCCTCCGGTCCTATACAGAAACGTATATCCCTCGTAATCTCGATACTAGCTTAATAAAGTCTGCGGTACTAGCCTTTCTTTCCGGAGTAATCTTGTAACTAGATACCTTTCCGAGAGCTATCGGTAAGCTTAATACAACCTTTATTGCGGTTAATACTAATAAAGACGTGTTGCTTATCGACTATAGAGTCCTTAGGAAGCTAGATTGCGGCGGCCCTCGACGATCCGAATACTATATAGCGCTTATATATAAAGGCTAAACGCTTTAGTAGTACTACGACCGGCTAGCGACGGCGAGATCCTTTAGGCTTTCCGATTTAGTATAGACGTCTATCTTAAAGGAGGAATCTATTCGATCGGGCTCGCAAGGCCTCGTCTACTAAGCACGTTATTAGTATAACTATAGCGAAAGCGTCTTTCTATTGTAATTTGTTTGCAGCTATTTTGATTCGGGCTATTCTACTAATCTTATACTGTATATATAGTATTCTATAATCTATACTCGTAGTATAGCACTACTATCTAAAAAGCTGTCTATATAAGACAATATCTTAAACGTTAACTCGAGCACCTACCGACCTTTAAGTTAGATACTACTCTGTATTATATTAGACTACTACTAGTTTTCTACGTTAAACTACGTACCTTCTGCTTTAAACTCGTTTCCTAGAATATATTGCAAGACAAGTTGTAATATTTCGCTATCGCCGTTCGATATAGCGTTATTGTAATAAACTATCTATATTCCGTAGATAGCTTGCCTTCTATACTGTAATAGGCTAGCTACTGCTCTTGCTACCTAGTAAGACTACCGAAGCAGAAATGCTCTAGCGTCTGCTGTAATCGTCCTCGATATATCTGCTCTCGGAAATAGTCTTCGAATATCGATTAAAAGATGTATATCGGTAGTAAAACTACCGCGCGTAGAGTTCTAGATAAGACAACTTTTCGGATCTAGTATATCTACTAGGACTCGTACCGCTTCCTCGACTAAGATATATAGTCTTCTATATACTACGGCGAGTATAGGCAAAATAGCTAGAAGCTTTTATCCCTTTTATATACGTAGCGTAGCTTTGTTCCTTACTCTTCTATTACCTCGAGCTACTATTAAGATTATTATACCCCTTCGAATAATTGCTCGGTAGATAGGTACGAGTAGAATCTAGTAAAGGAAGTTAAAGTGTACCCGGGCGCTTCTAATATTATATTTTACTACTACCTACCTACTATAGCTCTCGCGACGGATCTCCGCGAAGTTGCTAGTAGAGGTCTATATAGGTCTATTATAGTTATACCCGATCTCTAGACCGATATACTCGACTTATATACCCTATACGGCTTGTCTCTATGTCTTCGAGAGTAGTTTATAAAGGCACGGAGGAAGTAGTATCAGTACTACCAACCACGAACGCCTACTACTAGCGGCCGAAGCTGTGTAAGAGTTTTACTCTACCTAATAGACCTATAAGAGGTCGGGCAAAAGAGAAAGTAGCGGACAAGCTAAAAGCTAAAAGAAGATAAGCAAAACTAAATCGATACGTAAAAGGCAAGATAAAAGCGTAGTCTAGCCTTCTTTACTCTAAAAAAAAGCGCCGCTATAAAAGGAGAAGGAAACGCTACAAAAGAAGAAGAAAACGCTATATATACTAGAGAAAACGCTACCTCTCTTATATACGACGAAGTAGAATACGGCACTCGTATATAGCAATATTATGTAGCTATACAATCTTTATAACAATTAAAAACCCTATTACAAAATAACAATAAGATAACCGCGAAGCTCTTAGCTAGTAGCTAGTGTTTCGTAGAAGGGAGTATTAGCTAAGCCTATAAGCCTAGGTACGCCTAAGTTTATTGTTTAGGTCTAAAGCTATACCGAAGTATATATACTAAGGGCGAAGTTAGGAGGGCTTATACGAGGAAAGCTACGGTATAAGGTAGAAGCATAGTAGGAAGTTTGTATCGGGAGGGATTTATAGATAGTAGGAAGCCTAGTAGCATTTAGACTCTATAGCTCCTCTAAGCGAAGGCGTTTGTAGTAGAGTTTGTTAGTATAGGCTTAATTATAGAAGTATATAGAAGGCGTTTCTAGTAGAGTTTGTATATATAGGCTTAGTTATAGAAGTATAACTAGACATTGCTGCAGTCTGCTAAGGCTTATTTTCTAGGACCGGAGGGATCTACTATAGTAATCTAGAGCACTATAGCGGTCTTCTAGGTAGTAGGAGATAGGTCTCGGCAGCTTAGAACGGCAAGGCTAAGGTCGTAGGCGGACTAATTACCCGCTTAAGGCCTCTACTTAGCCGAGAGTTAAATTAAAATTAGTGTATAAAGCTTTATAGAGTTTAGGAAAGGACTATATAGTAAGCCTTACTTACGCTCTTAAAAATCGAAAATGTCTTACAGGGGACTAAATTAGATTAAGCTACTCTAACTAAAGCTACTTCGCCTAGCGTCTGCTACGCTTCTTTGTAGGTATAAGCTTAACAGGCGTAAACCGTGCCCGTAGCGTAACTAAACGCTAGCTAATAAGCTCGGTACGATCTTAAAGCGCCTCGATTAGATCCTTAAACGAGAGGCTGCCGATATCTAAAGCAGTCTTAGTCGTACCTTCTCCTATTAAGCCCTATATCTTCTCTAAACAGATCTGTAAGCACTAAGCAATAGCCGATGCCTAGCCTTATAGTCCTAGATCCCTCGATCTCTATATAATCGGTTCGATAGAATTAATACTTATAGCCGCTCTATATAAGACGCGGTTAATATCCTCGTAGTATATATTAATACGAGATTGTAGGCTTCGTAGAGAGCCGGTCTAGTCCTTCGGCTTATTAGATGCAGGTCGTAGACGCTTAGAAGGGAGTAATTCGGCCGCGCTAATAGTAGAGGCTTTGCGCTTTCCGCTTAGACTAGCTTTGCTACCTCCCTTCCTTAAGCCTAAGTTATTCCGTTCGTTATCGGGCGACCTCTCTAGCTATACTAGATTGCTTTCTAGTCTATACTGCTTCTAGGGTACGGGTAGAAAAGGAATATGCTATACTAGCGAAGGTATAAGATTAGGCTCGCGAAAGTGTAGTAGTAGAGAGATCTTCTCTTCTTAGGTAAGTAGACCTAATAAAGGTAAATAGCCTAGAGTATATTCGTTAGCTTTGTTAGCTATCGCGTCGGTAATATTCGCAGCTATAGTAGTATTAGTATCCTCGTCGTCGTCGTCGTTAAAGAAGTTTTTCTATTTAGCCTTTAGTCGAGCCCTTCGCTCTCTAGCTTTAGTAATATAGCGATCTTCTACCGAAGGCTCTAATATCTTAGTAGTAGAAGAGCTCGAGACGAATCTACTATACCGAGGGAACTTAATGTTCGAAGAACCTAGCTAGTCTTTATAAGGAGACTATTATGCTATATTTAGAAGTACTAAAGGACTTAAACGCTCGTAGGTCTCTTTTCCCTCTTTTAAAGATATAACGTTCGACGACGGTATTAGTCTATCTTCTATAAGACTATCGTTATCGTCTACTATACTTGCTTAACTAGATACCTTGTCTACCTCTTCCTTAGAAATCGCCGACGTAGATAAATCGTAATCGAAGGCGCTCTAGGCGTTTTAGCTCTAGTTAATTAATCTATTAAATGCGCGTATAGTATTAGTCGTAAGGGAGGTAGAGTCCTCTTCTTAGGTAGCGGCGGTAGAAGGACCTCGACTACTCCTATACGCCGGGCGAAGGTTAAGATTGTCGCTATTATAAGAAGAGAAGCTATTATTTAATAGAGTGCTTATATTCGGATCTCTCTATTACGCTAGGGCAGAATAGGCACAATTAGTAAGTTCGAGCAAAGTACGATGCTTATATACTCTTCCGATCGTATAACGCGTTTGCTATAAGGCTATATATCTAAGCATACTAATATACGGAGCTGCGAGCCTCTTTATAGTTGCCTTATCTATGAATTTATAGCTAAACCTACGAAGTGAATTGCTCTATATCTCGGGACGCCGTCCTAAATGTTCGATTTATCTACAATTACGACCTAATATACTCTTAGTCTACTATCGCCTATACTACGCTCTGCCGTTCCCTACTCTTAGTCCTTAGTAGTATTATCTTCGCGTTAAGTACGCTTCTCGTCCGTAAAGATTAGCTAGTATCGTTATAGGTTTTTAACCTCGCTCTAAAATCGGATAATACGTAGTATATCTCTCTATTAAGGACCTTGCTCTAGGGTGAATGCTTTAATAGTCTCTTAGTCTTGCTCGAAGTCGGCGAGTACTTACTATAGATACGACCCCGTCGAGGTATTAGCTTTCTCTAGTTCTATAAGCGCCTCTGTTTGTTAGTCGATTCTCTTCTAAGCGCCGACGAGGTCTATATCGGTAAGCTTTCCTAGCTAAGTAATCGTAGTATAGTAAGTATAGAGCTTATAGCGGCGAAGAGATATTTCCTTCGCGAGGCGCCGACTTGCTTGTTCTATATTACTCTAAAGCCGAGAGTAGCGGCTTTTAGTACTAAGGCTTAGCGTTGCGCGCTAGTATACTTCGTATACCTAACTGCTCTTCCGTATCTGTACTATCTCCCTATTAACCCCCTTCTTCTCTTACGTAGTAAGACTGCTTTAGGTGCTATACGATTTAATAGCCTCTATATATCGAGATATCGAGCTAATTGTCGTCTTCTTAAACTCTTCGTAGAGGAGCTGTTAATGCTAAGCAAGTGCTGTAGCTTCCTAGGCAAATCTTTTAGCTTCCTCCTAGAGCTAGACGTCTCCGAGGCTTAATTATATAGGCAAGTAATCTAAGACCTCTTTCTATATAGCGAAAAATCCGTCGTAGCTACCTTTACTAAAGTAGTAACAAAGTGTTTCTTACGGGCTGCTCTTAATATACGGCTAGAGCAAACATATAATTAAGGCTAGAATCGTATAAAGACGCTAATTCGTATTTACTTCGCGCTAGAAATCTCGAAGCTAACGAGCTACTCGAAACTAGACACTAAAAATGCCTGAAATGTACTAGATCGCGGAGCTAAGTAATATAATAAGCTCACCTTATAGAAGTTGCTGTGTTAGGAATGCGGGCAGCTCGCCGAGTAAAGGCCCCTCTAGGCTCGCTATAATAGCTATAAGGTCTACCGCCTAAGCGATAAGGGATCGCAAAAGGCCCGCTATAGTACAATATTCTTAGTAGTTATATTGCTATTAAAACTTAGTAGAGATAAGAGAATATAGCACAGACCTCTAACGTGCTATATACTCGTACCCGTCTAGGTATACTAACTAAGCAATTTAGCCCTAAACCTTTGTCGCCTAGCTTTCTATACTCTTCCTCCTTTACGTTTAAGTTAACGTACTATAGAATCTGTTTATCGTTCCGCTACGATATTAAGCCTACTACCTCGATATCCGAATTCTATACTTTACTTTTACCTAATCTACGCTCTACTCTACTACCTACAAGCCGATTTACCGCAATGTCTAAGTCTGTAGTTCCGGTATTCGAATATCTTAACTAGTAATAGGATGCCTATATAGGTGCCGTCGAGATTAGGACCTGTCCGTATAATAATGCATTATTAGTAAAGAAGCTAGGCTTAGATAAGATACTCGAGGTCTTCTACGCCGCGAAGCCTTATACCTAGACTAAGACTAAGCGTAAGGTAGTCCCGGAACTTCGTAACTTTAAGCTAGGCTACTAGACTAAGGAAGACCTACGCATCTTGCTAAGGCGCTATTAGACAGCGTATAAAGCATACTAGAAGGGAGAGCGTCTAGATACTATCCTCGTTACCGTAGACATAGCTTGTACGGAGAATCTTGCCCGCTCTAGAAGTACTCGCTCTAATAATAGTTGCGCTATAATCGACGCGGAAGATAGAGGAGTAGGAGTAGGACAAGGTTAGATAACTAGGCCGTTTAACTAGATAGAGCGTAGAATTAAATATAGATAAGCTATAGACGTCGAATTAAGTACGCTCGATTTAGCTTATACTCTGCCTCTAGCTATCGAGTAGCGCCGTTAGCGGGCTATTAGCTCTATACCTAGTCCGCTAGCAGGCGTAGCACTACTATCTCGGCGCACTCTAAGCCCTTACGCCTTCTCTTTCTCTAGCTCCCTAGCTAGCGAAGCCTCCTCTCTACGCTCTCCCGCTAGCGACGTCCTAGCCGCTAAAGCCGTTTTAGACCGCCCGGCGCTCTTAGTCGACCTTTGTAACCTAGATCCGCGGAAGTAGCCTTAAGTAAGTATATACAATATTATTACTATTCTCGGTAGCGGCGCTCTCTTCGGCTTCGCGCTCTAGGAGATCTAGTAAGCTATTAGCGCCCTCGGTCGCAACGACTACGGACCGTTCTTATAGTACGCTAGACTAATCTTATAGCGTTTCGTGCCTAGTATGCTTCGTAAGGGTGCTTTAAACGAGCTCGGTTAGTAGCTAGAGATAGAGGAGAATTAGAACCGCCTAACGAAGATAATAGAGGCTATAGAGGCGTAGGTCTACGCTAGTAACGAAGGTAGTACGCGCGCTATCGCAAAGCTTAAGGCTAGAAATAAGAAAGGCTACGCTAAATAGGCTTAACAAGATTTATAAGCCGCAAGAAAGGATATATTATAGTGCGCTTCGATATACTATTATAAACGTCTAACCCTAATAAATGCGACATAGTATATAGCTACTAGTTTCTATAAGATAGGCTTATAGATTGTTTTATCTATATAATGTCTTTATCTATTAACGTCTATCGCATTCTTAGCCTCCTCCTTTCCCTTCTTACTATATTCCTTATAGCACCCTAGGCACCGTAACGGCGTTAAGTCTTTAGCCTAATACTAGAATTGCTCGCCGTAACCGATATAAGTAGTCGTCTTCTACTCCGTTAGCTACTTAGCTAGCCTCGCCTCTTCTACTTTTTTAGCTACTCGCTCGGATTCCTCTTTCTCCTTCCTCCTATATTCCTAATAGTATAGCAAGCACTATAACGGCGTCTGTTTCTCGGACTAATACTAAGCTTACTCGCCGTAATCGATATAAGTAGTCGTCTTCTACTCTATTAGCTACTTAGCTAGCCTCGACTCTTCTGCTTCTCTAGCCGCTCGCCTTACTTCTTTAGCTATACGCTCTGCTTCTTCGGTCGCGCGCTCTGCTACTTT